ACCGGAATGATTGTGGTGGCTTTAAAACATGTGGGGACGACAGCCTGGATGAGTGATATGTTGAAGATGTCTGTGAAGACATCAGTGAGTTCCACTGCACAGTCTCTCAGTACACGACCAGGAATGTTACACCCATTTTCAAACCTTGGCTCATGCGATTAGGTAGAAGATCATTAGGGGGTCCATTGTCCCTCTCGGAGGGATACTCCCACGGCGCTTAAATCTGGGACTCTCCACCATTTGACCCCAGAACTGAAGAAGGATCTCGGACGAGAGGTGAAACGTCTTCAAGCAAGCAGATGCAGATGCTTTTTTTCCCAAGCTCCTTAGACTAAATGTAAAAGCAGTTTGTTTATGATGTTAAAGAAAGGCTAAATTTGACATTAATAGATGTCACAGACCACAACTGCAAAGCATTTAAATAAATACAGGGGTTAACCCTTTACAGCCGATCGGAGCGGGCACGCTCTGTTTTGCGTAACTATTTTTAAATCCCGGTAGCTCTGCAACCACGTAAGCTAGCGCAATATTTTTTTTTGCATATGAAACCGGAGGAGTTGTACTTACATCTGATGCCATCAGCTTGTCCTAGGTCACGGTTTCCTTCCACATAAAGCTTTGCAAAAACTGCATAAAAAGTGCTTGCAGGAACAAAAAACATAATATTCCAGAAACACGCTGTGCCGATCCAATCAGCTGTTCATAACACTTCCTACGTTGGAATAGACGTCAGCGCGAACTTTTGCATTTCCGCCATTACCTGCCCGAAACCGGAAGTGACGTCATTTTCGCGGAAATGTAGTCTTTTTTTGTGATCAGGGCTTCAGTGCATATACTGGTATTTTTAAAAGTTATCTTTGACTTTATGACTTTCTGTGTCGCTTCTGGGATGCTTAGGACTCATATTGCACTGCTGGAAATTGTTTATTTTGATGCATATGCTGCTTTTTTGCAAATTTGCAGTATAATATTTATTTTCGTTTTTCCTGCAGTGTATAAAAATTGGTGTATTTCAAAAATAAAACTATGAAGACACTCAAAATAAATTTCCTGTGGTGGGAAACTATTTTGTGCAACTTTTTTGTATTTACAGTTTTGAGGGATAAGCCTCTTAAATTTCTCTAACTACAAATATATGTTAAAAAAGCAAAAACGATTTTCAATTTTTTTGTAGTTCATTGACCTTTTTTGCAATTTATGTAATTACTATGCACTTAATGAATACATATTATTAAAATCTGGGCTATAATGGTTGTATTGATGTATAGCAACTTGAAATGCTCCCAAAAATGGCTCCACAGCATGTAAAAATATAATATAAGCTCTGGCGGACTTGGTTCTATGGTAGGTGTTAAAGGGTTAAGAATATAGAGTTCATATGTTAAAAAGGTTTATATGGATTGAAAACAAGCCCCGCTCCCTAACTGCTGGACTCTTATCTAGTAGCTGCACACTAATCTATTTCTTAAACAGTTTTTATTCATTATCAAGAAAAGCATAAAAACATAACAAAGCAGATAAAAAAGAAAGAAAGAAAAAAAAACAAAGGGAATATATTAAAGTCATTATATACCTCTACAAATACAAATATGGGGTAAAGAGGAGAAAAAAAAGAGAGAGAGAAAAAAAAGAAACATATTTTCGCTCATTTACCCACAGATTTAGAAAGAGAAAAAGATAAACTCCAAGAGTGAATTGTTGTCCTTTACACTTACTTCCTATTTAACTGAGAACATCTTAAACGCATACATTTCCTAGCTACCAGCAACAGTTTGTCACATAATTTGCGCTGTGAGTGATTTAATGTTACTTCTTTTGAGGGTAGGCCAGGAAGAAAATACCCGGGGTCTCTTTGGAGCATATTGTTAAAAATATTTAAAAATATTTATAATCTATTTCAAACATCAGCAGAAATGTTTACTGAGAGATTTTTATAGAAGGCTTTTAAAGCTGGAGGGTTATGTTATAGAGCTTTTACTGTAACATAACCCTGTTACTGTAGCTCTATAACAGGTTAATTTTTAAGTAGCATGAGCCAAGAGCAGCAATACTAGGCTAATACTTTCAAGCTAGCAAATTTATGAACCTGGTGCTAAAATGAGAGAAGGCACAAAAACAGTTTGGATAAAAGTAATCCGAGAAGTTTCTTCAGTTTTAGGGTCAAATGGAATGCTTTTAAATCTAACTAATATTTCTGTTTAGTTACATTTGAAATACTACTACTACTACTAATAATAATAATAATAATAGTTTTGGTTTTGTGAAAAATGTGTATAGATACAAGTTTTATTGTGAAAGTCCAAAGCCTTAAGCCAGATTAGTGGCCTGTTAAATGGTTAAAGTCTAGGTTGGCTTTATAGTTTAAAATAAAGTAATTTAGTTTGTCCTTTTAAAGAATTAAGTTAAATTCAACAGTTGAATCATAAGAAACCTTTTGGGATTGTAACTGTGCTTATTAGAAACTTTATATATTGGAAGTTGGCTTTTAATAAGCATGCAATGATCATATTTAAATTAGGTGGTCTTTTCTTAACCACATCTCTTTAGGCCTGAACTGACAGTGCAGCACATTCAGACACAGTAGTAGATGGTGTTTTTAATACTACGTGTTAGTCTAATTTGGGGTCTAAATTGACCTTCTGTGTTGGAAGTTATAAACGCTGCACAACCCTTAAGGATCAAATCAGCTTCTAAATAATTTAATGGTTTCACTTTACCATTACCTTTTTGTAATATCTTGGGTCCCGATCAAAGATCTGTTCTACTACCGTGATTTATTTTTTACTTCTGCTTTTTCATGTTCACATGTGGCCGCAGTGTCATTTGGTTAATTATGAAAGATGTGTTCGAAGGTTTGTTTTAGTCTGATCAGTTTGTCATTGTTTGTAGCCATCAACTGTGTGATGGTTCGTTGAACAATTAAAAATCATCAGGTCTGATGTTTTGATAAGTTTTTTGTTAAAGGGTTTGAGACTCAGCCTTCAGAGCAGGTGACAAGGCGTCCCTGGGAACACCGAGGGGTAAACTGTCTTGTGCCATTAAAGCAGTGAAGCACAGACATGGCAGAAGAATCCACATCAACTTCCAGGACAGCAGTGACAAGCGATGCATGTAGCAGAGTGAGTAGTGGTTTTTGATATGGGCGACAGGGGTGGTTGCTCAGGGCAGCATCACGGGCATCTGCATAAGTAAGTAAAGTTTATTTATTAAGCACTTTTCATAGACAGGCCATCACAAAGCACTGTACACAAATATTAAACTAATCATAAAGTTAAGTCATGGAATAGACAATAAACACAATATAAAAAATTAAAAGTAAATAAAAATGTAAAATTTAAAAAGTGCTGATCAACAGAAAAAATGTTGCTTGTCATCAAGATTAACGCGATTAAACATTAAACAGGCAATTAATCCATCTGGACCACAGAATGACTCAAAGTCCCTGAAATGTCTCTGTCAACACATTTCGGGCAGTTTGTTCAAAGTTTGTCAATTCTGCACTCCAGATGGGTTGATTGCTTTCCAAATTTTAATTGTGGATGATGCCACCCACACTGGACCCACTGCAGTTTACCCCTCCAAACTGAGCACTGGAGCCTGTCAGGGATGTGTGTTCAGCCCACTGCGGTTCAGTGTAACTCACAGCTTTGCAGAAATGCACAGTTCGAACCACATCATAAAATTCGCCAATGGCATGACCGGGTGGGTCTTACCAGCAAGAACGATTAATCAGCATACAGAGAGGAGGTGAAACAGTGAACGGACTGTTGCACAGTCAACAACCTGTCTCTGAAAGTGGACAAAACAGAAGACATGATTGTTAACTTCAGGAGAGCACAGACCGATTACTGCCCATTTAATATAAATGGATCCTCTGTGGAGATTCTCAAGATCACCAAATTCCTTGGTGTCCACCAGGGCAGAACATCTTCTGGTCCCTTAACACCAAGTCCATAACCAAGAAGGCCTAGCAGTGTCTCTACTACTCTGTACTGTACCACTGTACATGATTAAAATGACAATAAAAGCCACTAAGAAAATGCGGCACGGTCGGATTACTATTTTTCAACGAACAGACAGTTGAAGCTGTGTTCAGCTTAGAGAGTGTTATATTTGAAAGAAATCTCCGTCGGGTTTCCTCCTGAGGTGTGGGCACCGATAAGCAGAGTTTTGTATAAGATTAATTATTCAAAGTAACACACAGGTATGCCGTTCAGCTGGGTTAGTTACAGCGCCGGGAGTAGCTTGGGAGAACAAAATGATACAGAGACTGCTTCAGGTTGCTTTCCCAAAATCAACTCAAAGTTTATTCTTTGTGCAGCAGTTTATATAGACAGACAACAAGTTTCAGTTCAGACCCTGCCCACTGGGTGGGGTGGCATCCTTCGACAGTTGGTATCCTTTGTTCAGCAAGGGCAATAAAAATGCACTCAGAAGAACAATAAATCTTATACAGAGGTCTCCTACATCCTGAGTTCTGACACAAAAACCAGATGGTCTTTACATAAACATCTTCTGCAAGGGAGTGATAGGTAAAAGAGTGATTTGTCGGTGTTTTCCCTCCAACCTTAGCATCTACTTTCACACCATAAATCTTGAGTTGACAAGGCAAGAGAAAATAACGGTTAACATTAAGAGCTGTGGAGCAGGGAAATTATTTTACTGCTATTATTATTAAAAATTATCATTACCATTGCATTAATAATATAATCTGGAGTTTATATTGCATTCAGAGGTTGAACAGTGTGTGTGTCTTTCAGAAAGGCTGAAAGTCACAGGCTGACAGGAAACAGGCTTGCAGAGAGTTTGCAGAAGTGAAAGTCTAAGTTATTTTGAGCAGCAGGCTAAGACGAGGCTTTAACAATGTAACAGATAGCTTTAAGATGGCCTTAAGATGTTTATGATGATGTTGACCTTGTATTTCAGGTGCAGTTATAACTATTTTATACACAATGCATATCGGTGCTTATTTGAGTTGATGTTCAGGTTCTTTAAAGGTCTTAAGCTTCACTGGCGCGACTGTCCAGGTGATCCATGCTGAGGGAAAACTAGAACATAGAAGGAATTGCAATACATGCTTACAAAACACTTATATCAGGTCATTTCATATTAAGGTTTCATTAGAGGTTCTTGGTTAAAACATTTATTTAGTAGAAGACATACATATAGTCTCAGTGAGCTTCTGGCCTGGTGAAAGGTCAGAAGTGCAACAGGTGAATTGAGAAAGAGCATTTGAGGACGAGACACAGATAGTTAGTAGGTGAAGAGGTGACACAGAGAGCATGTGAGGTCGTGACACACACACATGAGTTAGATTTATTTAGAGGAGAGAGATTAGTCAGTCATGTCTGGATTGTAACGGCGAAAGTGTCTCGGTAAAAGAGGAACCGTCCTTGTCTTCTCGGCAAGAAAGAGGAACTGAAAGGTTGACCGGAGGGATCGGCCATGAAAATAGAAGATGATGTTCTGTGTTAAAAGTCATTGTGGTGTTGATCTGATCTATGTATAAAATGTATTTGTGACGCATGAAGGGGCGTCAGTAAATCAAACCCTGATGCTATAAAAATCTGTGTATGCTTTGATTAAGTCGAAGACCACTTGCTGTCTGCGTACAGAGTGTTCTTCCCACACGTGTGTATTCATTAAAATCAATTGTTTGACCAAGATCTTCTGGACCAATGGTTGTTTGTACTCTCCTTCCTCAATTTTTGAACCTTAACAGAGCCTTGTTAAGTCACAGAATCTTCAGTCTAATATTACAATTTATGATCATCCCAGCAAAAATACACTCCTAGACATAGAATACAGAGTTCTTTCATTAGTGAAGTCTGAAACAAACCACCTGGCCTTTAACAAGCTCTTTTTCTAAGAGATAAAGAAGGGAGGATGGAAATAAGAAAGTTATCTCTGTGGTATTTTCGACCTTGAGGTACCAGCCTGTGATTCTTACACATTAATTCTTGGGACACAGAAAAAGAGAAAAACAACTACTAAATGGGCCTTATTGAGTAACAGTTTTCCTGTATAATATCACTACAAAACAATATCCTATAAATGCTAACCGTAGTGCTAAAATTCACAACAATATTAGTTGCATAAAAGTAGTTGTTTATGTAATCCGGGCGCTACAGCTTTAAACAGTTGCACGCGCTCCCGTGGACGGCAATTACTGTCTGGCAGATTATCAAATTTTTGCACAACACCTGGAGCTAAGGGGGCAAAACAATCGCATGAGTGCTGCTGTTTGACTGAGGAAGAATAAAGTAGTCGTGGTAAGCCAATCACATGACCACTTAAAGATGTGAGAGTGTGTAAATGTGTGTGTGAATGGGTGGATGACTGAATGTGTAAAGTGCTTTGGGGTCCTTAGGGACTAGTAAAGCGCTATACAAATACAGGCCATTTGTGGAATGTAAGTGTTTATAAAAATGAATGTAACACTTCCACATCTTTTAAAGGAGCCTTGTGTGATTTAGCTCTTTGTATTTTGTTCTGCACAGACAGAGGCCACTGCCGTATTTTTGTGTTTTGTATTTCATTTCATTTCCTTTATTCCTCGTATTGTATTGGCGTATCTGTGTTTAGTCGGTTATTCTGTTACTTCGCCACGTTACCTCTCGTGCTGTCGATGTTCAGTACAAGTCCATATGGCCGCTGTTTGACAAAAGTAAAGGTCAAAGGACCTTTTTTTGTTTATTCAGTTGTCATTTACAATAAAACTGCACATTAAGAACCCCAGTAATTGTGTCCTGTGTGGCTAACCTTTTCCCAGGCTACAAAAAAATGATATAGCAACATGACATTTGGTTGTTTTGGGAGAGAGGGAAGTTTTAGGAGTGACGATGAGAGAGAGAGAGCAGAAAAAGAGAGAGCGAGTTTTGAGATGTGAGAGATTGTGACGTTTATCGTGTTTGGAGTGTGTAGTTAGTGTGTTGACTTGTGTAGTTAGTATGTAGTGGTGTGTGTTAGAACAATGAGGCAATTGCTGAATGAAAGCAGCAGGAGTGATGCTGTCAGGCCTCCGGGTGTCAGGCTGTGATGTTCTCCTTTACAGTGGACAGAAATATTTGGAGTGGCACAAATAATTTGTGTGGCATCTTATTGAATGCAGAACAGCTGATTGTTATGTAAATAGCTTTAAATGTTTTTTTTTTGTTTTTTTTAAAGGGTAAAAGTTGAATGGCTGCAAATAACTTTGTTGTTTGCAAAACTTGTGCATAGGATTTTAAAATCGACCATTTATATTTGGATTTAAAGTTATGAAATATGATTCATTAAACATGTTTGTGGTTGTTACAGTAAGAAATATAACTTTATCTACTCAGATTTTATGTTTTTTGTCTGATTTTAGATCAATTGTGTCACTACAGTATGTCAAAATGAAAAGATAACTGTAAATTCAGACAGGTGAGGTTGTGCTGAAAAGAATGATACCAAACAAGGCAAATAAACAGTTTTTAAAGGTGAAATCTAGAGGAAACATCAAAAGTAGTTAAAAATGGCCAATTATCCCCTGGACTCCAGAGGGTTAAACGTTCTTTTAAGTAAGGCAATACTGATTTTTCAAGTAATGAATTACTTTTCAAATTTTGTAACTCAGTTACTAACTCAGTTACTTTTTTGAAGAAGTAGCTAGTAACTATAATTAATGACTTTTTCAAAGTAACTTGCCCAACACTGTTCAATCAAAATGGTGGAGCGTTCCAGATTGAAGCTCTGTGGGAGTGAAGCACTGAGAGGGACAATGGCCCCCTAATGATCCTCTACCTAATCACATGGTGGGACTCTCCACCATTTGACCGTAGAACTGAAGAAGCTTCTTGGATGAGAGGCGAAACGTCTTCAAGCAACTTAAAGAAGTCCAGGTGTTTTTCTTTCCAAGCTCCTTAAACTACTGTGACCTGTATGACTGAAAACCTTCATAGACAAAAAGCCACTTCACTTAATGTGACATGTTTTCTTCCAAATTTTCTTTCTAACTCATAAGTAATCAATACAGTAACTGCATGAAATTATCAACAGTACCTCTTTTCCTTGTAGTTTTATAGACAATGTTTGCTACTTGTGGGTGAGAAGCTTTGATATCTTGTATGAAATATTTTGCAGTTACATATTGTCTGAGACATCATAGCTGTGTCCCAAAACGTCGGCTGCATCCTTCGGAGGACCCGGCCTTCGCGGTCTATGTGGGCTGGGTCCTTCAAAGACCAAGAAGGCCGGAAGTGTGAGGCTTTGAAATGGGACGGTCTTGCCTTCAGATTTGTATCACCGCTGTCTCGGTGGGGTTTAATAAACTCAGCCGTCTGCTCCTTGCTATCTAAAATATAACAGGACACTGGCGTAAATTCTCGACCGTCTCACACTTCTGTTTAATCAGTTTTCTGTTTGACGTTTATTCAGCTGTGTGAAAACCAAGGAGGAACCCACCCGATGGATTAATAAAGCTCTATTTAATCTAATAATCTAATAACTTTGATCTCAGCCAAACCGATTTACTCCGGAACAAATAAAACACGAAAAAAGGCAAACAATTACATTTTTTAATTATCTGAGTGACTTATATATCATGTTTAACCTGAGTAGCGAAAGAGCGGGGGTCTGAAAACAATGAAGCCGGGAGTCCGCTGCTCTCACCGGCTGGAGTGACCATTGAACCCCCCAGCTTGCTATCGAGCTGGTGGGTAACAGACGTCTCCGAAAACGTCGGCACACTTTTGCAAATATGCGATGTCTTGATAAACCAAGCAGATATTTGAAGTTTACACAGCTACTGAAAATATGTTAAAATTTTATTTTGTGGCCCAGAAAGATTAATAAGACTAATTTTAAAACTTAGTAGCTGGCGCCATTGTTGGAAACTGGAATTGGCTGGATCCCGCTATCAATTCTGGGATATGGTGGGCCACGAAGGACACACCTGACCCATCCTTCAAATTCGGGGAAATGAAGGACACATTTTTTTTTGGTGAACTTTATTTATAAACAACAGTATAACATACAAAGCACCATCATTAATCTGAATATGTTATATCCTCCGTTGAGCGTTACAACGAGAAAAGCAAAAAAGCAAAAACAAAACAATAAACACAAAGCCAAAAAGAGTTAACAAAAGAAAGAAAGAACAGTCATTGAAGGATTTGAAATCAAATTTGTCGGCCACATTTGAAGGAGTCGACGAATTGGGACAGCCTTCGTCGCCTGGCTGTGACCTAATCGGCCTTCAAATGCGGCATTGGGACTTATGTGTTTCTGTCCTTCTGTTTGTTGTTGGATTTGTGGAGCTATAATTCGGCAATAATTTTTCTTGAAAGTTTTTCTTGGCACTGATTCTTTTTACTCATGCCAAGGTAATCTGTATTACTTCTATATTATTTATTCATCAAATGTTAGTCCCATGTAAAATGTGGTTCTGACTGGAAAATGCTGTCATGTTGTCATGTGACCTATCACATGTGATTTAAGGTGGCACCACCCTGCGTTTCATTGGCTGTATCCCAATTCAGCATCTGCAGCCTTAAAGTACGCAGCCTTAACGGTCCACAAGGGTCGCGTACTCAAAGATCGCTAAGGCTGGAAGTTGGAGACTTGTGAAATGGGACGGTCTAGCCTCCATCATGCTGCCCAGGTTGCCTAGCAACCATGATACTAACAGCTGGAAACGTTTCATACAGCTTTGTTTGACAGAAATGAAGGAGAACATATTTTGTTCATTTGTTTGTTTGTTTGTTTTTATATGAGCTTTGTGTGATTTGATAAGTATCTGAGGCATCTTACTTTGGTAATGTAGATATAATATGGCCAATATTATAGTTATTATTATATTTATCATTGTTAGTTATTAGCGCAGCTTGAACTGTGTGTCAAATACTGAGCTTCAGTAAACATTCAAGTTGCAGTTATTTATATTTCCTATCACCTTAAATCTTCACTCAAAGACAAGTATCTGTGACAGTGTATATATAGATGTAATATTATATATAAGAGACAAATATTGCTCGTTTAATATGTTGGCATTACTAAATTTGGCTCAATGCTTACATATATGTATAAAAAGAAAATGTACAAGCTGTGATAAATGTTTCTGATAGAATGAAGAGTAGATTGATATATTAAATATTCCTTTATTGGGTGGTAAAATCAGACCATGTCATAACTGCTTTAAGTCATACAGAATAGATATCAGAGCCTTAAACAGGCTGACTTCTGCTAAATGGATCAAACTGGGCAGAAAGTATACAAACACATAACATCCTTATAGAATATGATGTAACACTATAGATCAACTTACCTCAGAATATATAAACAATTACAGCAATATGATGCAACAAACACAGCAGTGCTACTAATCCAAAATACTCAAAGCTTCATAGAAATGAAACAAACATTTATTTTTAGGTCCATTCTGCTGCTGATACATAATTCAAAATTCAGCTCTCCAATAATTTCAGTTTCACTTCTCACCATTCAGTTTCAGTTCTACAATTCAATTTCAGTTCCAAAATTCAGTTTTTTGGAACTTACATCCGGTTCCGGTTCAAGCGCAGATTAATAGAACTACGTTTTACTAGCGGACCGAAAGTGTTACTAACGGGAATCTACAGCGTCTTGAGCTGAATTAAGACTTCAGAAGTCATTCGTCATGTCGAATGACCAGCGGACAAACTCTCAGGTTGGTAATAAATGTCCGGTCCGGTCCGCTAGTAAAACGTAGTTCTATTAATCTGCGCTTGAACCGGAACCGGATGTAAGTTCCAAAAAACTGAATTGTAGAACTGAAACTGAATGGTGAGAAGTGAAACTGAAATTATTCGAGAGCTGAATTTTTAAAGGATAAAATCGAGTTTCAAAGCAAATCAATTCATTTTCAAAATATAAATTCAATTTCAATTTAGTGATGATCATTTTCAAACCATAAATTCAATTTCAAATTAGACTAATTCAAATTCAGTTTTCAAAAGCATTTATTCAAGTTACAATTCAGATTCAATCTGAGCAATTCAAATTCAAATTGAACTTATTCAAATTCAGTTTCTGATGGCACAGATTTCTGCCTATAAATATGACCTTTAAGGCTGCAGACCCTGAATTGGGATGCAGCCATTGTATAATGAAGAGCAAGTGTGCTTAAAACACCATGTAGTAGATGTGATGAATAGGGAATGTGAAGTTTTGCAGTGTGTGAACTGTTCAGTTTTTTTCTACAATAATTGACAATAAACAACAGATGTTGGGCTTATTTGGGACACAGCACTCAATCAAGTTTTCCAGCATGTACTTAAACCACCTCTTAAAACTGGAAAACAGTCAAAGCCAACAAAACTTCTTTTGCCACAAAATAAAAAACAAACTGTTGACACACAAAAATGTTTGGACTGGACACTGAAAGTGAATGCTAAACGTTTCCAATAACTTTTACTGAAAACTGAAATAAAACGAAATCTTTTCGTCTCTGAATTTTTCGTGAAGTCTAACTGATGCTGAGCTGTGATGCTGAGTGATCTCAGTGAACAGTGAGTAGAGTGTTCTTGTGACTGGCTTTATGGTGGGAGTGGAGCATTTAGTTGACATTACATCATAATTTACAGATAAGATGGAAGGTTGCCCAATATAAAGTGCTCTGCACATTGATACAATAGATGTCAGTCTTCTGCATTTCTAAATCATTCTATTTATATAAATAGGAGCTTAGACTGCAGTATTTCTAAAGGTAATGAAAAGCTGATTCCTTCCAAGTTGTGTGCCAAGAGAGAAGAGGGCTGGAAGAAGTTGAGGAGACAGGAAAAAAAGGAGGCTTTTCAGTAAGACCAGCGTGTCTGTGTATGTGGAGCCGAGTGGCTGACTCATGTTACTCTTGGCCAGTCTGAGTGTTAGTAATTGCTCAGTGAGAGTGCTACATGGTTTTCCTGTGTAAACAACAGCTGAAAGGTGACCTTTGGTATTCAAGATAACTGTGATGCCACAGTCTCTGATTTAATTTATTAACATTATGATTCTCTGCAGTATTACTCAATAAAAATACAAAAACCTCTAACAAAACACAGTACATGCAAACACATTGCATGTAATGTCAAAGGTCAATCAAAGGTCAAATTCCATAAAATAATAAATTTTAAAAAATCTATAATAAGCCATAAAAAATGTAACCTTTAACTTGAGTTTATTGGCCCACATTTCAATTGGGTTGTTAAAAAAGTCTTTTTATATTTTGAAATACTAACTGGATTTAATTAATACAGTATTTTATATGATTTAATATTCAATCAGCCGTTATTTTACATATACAGCAAGCTGTATAATTTAAATATATTATAAAACCAAATTAACAGTTATTCTTCTTATTTTAATCCAACTCCTGGAAGTGCAAATTTTCTGCTGTATATTGTCGAGACCAGTGGTAAAACATATGTTATTTTATGACCATAGTCAATGTAGTTGAAGTATGTTAACAGCTGTAGGACATATATTATCATTTAGTTTAGATGGTGTGCTGTGTATGTAGTTTAGTTCTCATTATACTTTTGAGTTAAAAGAACATATTCACTTATTAGTTTATTAGATAAGTGTGCATCACTCTGTATCCTTGATCTACTGTGAATGTCTCACACTGTGTTCTTGACATGTTTTATTGCTGAATCATGAAGAGAAAGGAGACTCTGTGTCTAGGAGAAGGGAGATAGATCACATTCCATACCCCCACCTTTGCAGAGAGAAGAAAGACAGGGAGCCAAGGTCAGGAGCCAGTCTCGCTAAGAATTAGAAAAACATGTGAAGATGTAGCTTTTATGACTAGGTGGGGGTCGTCAGAAGCTATAAAAGACTGTGAGATCGGTCGCCATTTTGAGACGTGCTGCAAACCCTCTGCAAAGCATCTCTCCCGTCCGGACGTTTTAATGCTCTTAAGTGTTGAATTGTATGGAAATAAATGATTGTTAATTGAGCATTTATACACCGAGTACTGTCCTTCCTTCAGCCCAAAGATTAAAAGAATTGGGAGATATTAACAATATAAATGACGGTCGAAGGAGCAGCTACAAAGTTGGGTTTCCACAGGTTGCTGACTCTACTTTAAACTGTGAAAGTGTCATGACCGCTGCTGCTTTTGTGTTATCAGTGTGTGTGTGGGCTTAATGTTGTCAAAAGAAATTGACAAGCCACAATTTCTTTCAATATACATTTAATGGATTTTGGAAGCAAAAAAAGAGTAAATGAATTCTATTATTAGCGTTTAATTCTGATGCATATTAATTAAATAAAACATAAGATTGAAAGAAATCATCAGTTGGTTTTGTTTAATTAATTCAAATCAATTTTATCTATGAAGTGCTAAATCACAGCAACAGTCACTTCAAGGTACTTTTTATAAGGTATTATAAGAAAGAGACCATACAATATTGCAGAGAAAATCTTCCCAAACCAAACAACATCTTTTGAACAAGCACTTGGTGACAGTGGGAAGGAAAGTCTTTAAGCCTAATCTTAAAAATTATAGACGGTGTCGGCCTTCAGAGTCCAAACTGGAAGCTGGTACCACAGGGGCCTGAAAAATGAAGGCTCTACCTCCCACTATACGTGTAAATACTCTAGGAACCACAATAAGCCACAGCCTGAGAGTGAAATATTCTAATGGGGTGGTATGGTGCTAGAAAGTCATTAAGATCAGATGGGGTCTGATTATGCAAGACCTTGTGTGTGAGGAGAAGGATTTTAAATTAGATTCTAGATGTAACAGGGAGCCAATGAAGAAAAGTCAATATGGGAGAAATATGCTCTCTCTTTCTACTCCATGTAAGTAATCTTGCTGCAGCATTTTGGATCAACTGAAGTTTTTTTCTACGAGCTTTAAGAGCAGCTTGATAATAGTGACCTGTGTAATGAATGGGTGTGTGAATGGGTGAATGACTGAATGTAGTGTGAAGCGCTTTGGGGTCCCTAGGGACTAGAAAAAGCGCTATACAAATACAGGCCATTTACCATTTACCATAGGAACACATGGGATAGAGGGATTTGGTTGTTGGTCTGAGGTTGGAGGTGGAGGTGAAGAGAGGGTAGACTGCAAATGAGAAATTTAGCTGAAGTGGAGTTTAAGTGATGAGCATTTGTTGTTGGATAAGAAGCATTTATGGTTTGAAAAGCAAGAGAAACAGATCTGCTGGAAGATGCAGAAGCAGTATGATGCACTTACATCTTCACTTCCTAGTAAGTCACTTCCATATTCACTTCCTAATGATCCACTTCCATCTCCACTTCCTAGTAAGTCACTTCCATATTCACTTTCTAATGATCCACTTCCATCTCCACTTCCTAGTAATTCACTTCCATATTCACTTCCTAATGATCCACTTCCATCTCCACTTCCTAGTAAGTCACTTCCATATTCACTTCCTAATGATCCACTTCCATCTCCACTTCCTAGTAAGTCACTTCCATATTCACTTCCTAATGATCCACTTCCATCTCCACTTCCTAGTAAGTCACTTCCATCTTCACTTCCTAATGATCCACTTCCATCTCCACTTTCTGGTAATTCATTGCCCTCTTCACTTCCTAATGATGCACTTCCATATCCACTTTCTAATGATGCACTTCCAACTCCGCCTAGTGCTACCACACTTCCAGCTCCGCCTACTCCTAATGCAAATCCAGTCCCACCTACTCCTAAAGCACTTCCAGCACCCTGTACTGCTGATGCACTTCCAGCTTCACCTACTGTCCTCACACTTCCAGCTCTCCCTACTTCTGATGCAAATCCAGTTCCACCTACTGCTGATGCACTTCCAGCTTCACCTACTGCTGATGCACTTCCAGCTTCACCTACTTCTGATGCAAATCCAGTTCCACCTACTCCTAAAGCACTTCCAGCACCCTGTACTGCTGATGCACTTCCAGCTTCACCTACAACTCTTACACTTCCAGCTCTCCCACCTTCTGATGCAAATCCAGTTCCACCCACTGGTAATACACTTCCAGCTCCACCTACTCCCAATGCACTTCCAGCTCCGACTATTCCCAAAGCACTTCCAACTGCAGCTAATACCCCAATTCCAGTTGTAATCAGTGTTTTTCCTAAAACAGCTTGTTCAAACGCATTAACTGAATTGGGAACTGGACTTCCCTCATTTTGTCTATTAGTTTTTTCTTTTTTGCTTTCATAGTCTTGCTTCTTTTTAGTTGTGGTTGTAGTGGAAGGTTTTGTTGTAGCAGCAATAGTTTTGGCACTTGGGGGAAGTGTTGTTGGAATAGTAGAAGTCTGGGATTTGATAGTTGGAAGTGGAGTGGTAGTAAGGAGAGTAGTAGTTAGCCGTAAAGCAGTTGTTAATGTGTCTTTAAGTGTAGGTCTGGATTTAGTACTAGGGTGGCCAGTGACAGAGGTGGAAGTGGCAGAAATGGTAGAAGGTGGACCAGATGTTGTAGTAAGAGGAAAAAATGTAGCTGTGAAATGGCCAGATGTGGCAGTGAAGGGGCCAGTTGTGGTTGAAGGTGGACCAGATGTTGTAGTAAGAGGAAGAGACGTAGATGTGAAAATTCTAGATGTGGCAGTGAAGGGGCCAGATGTGGTAGAAGGTGGACCAGATGTTGTAGTAAGAGGAAGAGACGTAGATGTGAAAATTCTAGATGTGGCAGTGAAGGGGCCAGATGTGGTAGAAGGTGGGGCAGATGTTGTAGTAAGAGGAGCAGAAGTAGATGTGAAAAGGCCAGAAGTGGTAGTTAAGGGGCCAGATGTGGTAGAAAGTGGGACAGATGTTGTAGTAAGAGGAGCAGAAGTAGATGTGAAAAGGCCAGAAGTGGTAGTTAAGGGGGCAGATGTGGTAGAAGGTGGGGCAGATGTTGTAGTAAGAGGAGCAGAAGTAGATGTGAAAAGGCCAGAAGTGGTAGTTAAGGGGCCAGATGTGGTAGAAAGTGGGACAGATGTTGTAGTAAGAGGAGCAGATGTAGATGTGAAAAGGCCAGATGAGGTGGAAGGGACAGATGTGGTAATGAAAGGCCCAGATGTAGTACTAAATGATGAAATTGTGGCAGAAGAAGAGACAGATACCATAGGAATAGAGCTAGATGTAGACTTATCAGTGGTGATAGGAACAAATGTTGCAGTAGAATAAAAGGATGTGGTACTGCTAGGGCGTGGTGAATTAGATGTTGTAGTAGAAAAAGAAACTGAAGAGATACCTGTGGCAGTAGGAGGGGCAGATGTACTCAACATGGTTGATGGGCAGTTGCAGGTAAGGTTAAGATCTGAATAAAAGTGAGTGACAGTTGTGTCAAGAGGACATCGTGTTCCAGGAAAAGCTTCAGTTCCCAGGGTTCTGCGGAGTTCTGTTAATTTCTGTGTCTGCAGGTATTCAGGGCCTTCTGCCACATTCTCCCCCCAGTGTGCACTTGCCAGCCACTTCTTCTGACTGCTACTGAAGCAGCAGAAGGCTGACCAGAGCATTGAAGGAATATTGATCCTGTTGTTGAGACTACTGTTGCTGGGCAGTGCTCCTATTACTACAAAGCCTTCTATTTCCTCATTGTTATTAATACAGAATTTATTCAGAACACATTTGACACAGCTTTCCATTCTGTTCCATCTTCCTGTGTTGAATTTGTGTTGTTGTGGAACAATGTTAGTCAGAGTAAAAGTCGACATTTTTTCAATCTGATCAGATCCATAAGAGCTTGGAAATAAATGTCCTCTGTCAAAACTTTGGTTGTTTCTGTAGTCTTGGTCGCAAGCCTGGTTGTTGCAGATGATGTTCTCGTTCTTGTTTTTCTCCTTGTTTGCCCTTTTAGGCTTTTTTTGGCTTTTCATATTGCCATTGTGTCCTGATTGTTCAAGCTGTCAAAATCAAAAGGGTAGATTAGTGATGTATGCATTGTTGCTCCAAAGTAGAATAAATATATTCTGCAAATCCCTGTCACTTAACCCTTATATCATCCTTGGGGTCAATTTGACCCCATTTAATGTTAATCATTCAAATAATAATACTTAACTGTTTTTTTTTTAGTTCACATGTCTTTTCCTATTTTGATGAGGACAAATGATAAAGCATAAATTTTTCATTATGATATTTTTTTCAATGAGTTGTACACATTTTGCATACATTGGTGGTTTTCTTGCGTCAATTTGACTCCAAGTTTCTTTTTAGCTATGTAAAGCACGTCTGTCTATGTGTGTTACCTAAAATCCTTACACCTGCAGTTGCAGAGTTTGTCCTTTGAAGTTGATACATGAAAGATGGGTGGGGAGTACATTCCCATGAGAACCTTGATACTTCTCGCAGCGTGGCTTGCGAATTGTTCAAATCCAAGTATTGTGTGTGTATGTGTGCGTGTATGCGTGTGTGACTGATTTTACATATCTTTATGGGGACTAAAAATTGGAAATTTACTATGCTTGTGGGGACCAACAGCCCCACAAGTTTCAAGGCATTTTTTCATCTCAAAAAGGTTTAGGTTTAGGGTAAGGGTTAGGATTAGGTATTCAGTTTTGAGAGCTAGCATTGGAGAAAGTCAATTAGATGTCCCCACAAAGATATTATGAAAACACGGTGTGTGTGTGTGTGTGTGTGTGTGTGTGTGTGTGTGTGTGTGTGTGTGTGTGTGTGTGTGTGTGTGTGAGAGACGAATTAGAACTGATATTTGGTGGGCAGAAAGTTCCCGCAAGGACATTGACAGTTCATGCAAAATAAGGGAGGAACAAACTTATACTGTAAAAGCTTCCATGACAGTCTTCAATCTAAATCATTACTCTTGGTGCTCTATGAATTCAGCAATCCGTATCTAAAAAAGAAATGTCCTCTGGAAAATGCTTTACTGTCATTGAGGCTTTGGTACAACTCAGTAATTGAAATGTGAAAAATTTTGAATGCAAACCTTTCAAGATATATTTATTCTAAATGAAAAGTTTGGACTGATGGTGGAGCTAGACTTTCTTTATCGAAGTACTATTTATGTATTCAATGCATAATACTGGAGGCCAAGGGTAAGTAATATTAGGGTTAGTAATATCTGAGGAGAATAATAGGGTTAAACACAACAGGTCACTTTAAGTTGTGAGTTGCAGTCATTTCTATGCAGTTTTATAGAAATATACTGAACAATGCCCTGCATAGTAAAACATGACTTTGTAATGGAAAACATTATAGTAATTATGAATCGGATAACTGAATGTAAAAATTCTTTAGTGCTGTAGGTGGCAATGTGAGCAGATGATTTGATGTCCACATGGTGGGATATTTAGATTCACTGTAATAAATAAATGTTATTACAAGTACATAGCAGAACAATAGCATTATTTAGATGACTTTTTTGTAAAAAAACAACCTGTGGTTCAATCTTCCAATCGGTCATAGGTCTCTTTCCTCCATCTCGTCTGTACTTGGCAGCAGAAAAAAGTGGAATCTTGTTCAAGGTGTCGTAGAGCGTCATAAATGTTCTTTTGTCATTCAAAGTCTGGCAAATTGGTTTGTATCTGTTCTGGTCCTGGATTTCCCTTTTCTCCAGAATTCCTGGGATGTTTGGTGGAGTTTGGTGAAGAAAAAAGTCCAGGCATTTTTCTATTGATGCCACCACTTCAGGTTCAGTGGGAACAATGTACAGGAGGACGACAGCAGCAAGGGGCAGGAGGTGCTGTACCTTCACTGATGGGCCCTATGCCAGGTAAAAGGAGAAAAAAGAAAAAGTAAAAAACAAATTGTGAAGCGTTTTACTAATAGACTGATATAGATAGATGCATATAGATATGGTGGATGTTCATATTTAATATTAACACATAATGAGATCAGAGTCTGTACAAGTAATCCCTGTTGAACACAGTGTGATGAGCCTGTGATTTACGAACAAAGTGACAGCCTCTCATAAGTAAAAAAGAGTCTGCAGCAAAGCCCAGTACAAGATACAATTTTGGGGAACTGTAAATTGTGCAGAGCTGATAGTAGAGTGTAAGAAGCAGAAAACTGAGCTGGGGACATGAAGCAGGAAGTCTGGAAGTTGTCCACCAGAAAATCATATTTATGCACCAGTTCCCCCTTTTCTGCATCAATTTATGGTAGAATTATCTTTATTTATCCAAAGAAAATGGTCAAAAACAACATAAACATTCAGGAAGGCCATTCTTTTTTGTTTGAATATAATTATTTAAAAATTCTACCCTTGACTGTCATCACTGCAGAGTCATCACACAAATACATTTCTAGTAATTTAAGTGACCTTCTGTCCTCTTTATTTGCATATTTCACACATGAGAGCCAGACTGTAAAGAAATGGCTGTTTTGATTTTGCCTGAAAATTGTGTATATGCATAGTGCATGTAGCACCTATTCACATGAGTAGAAAAAGAAAAAAAGAAAATTAAAACGCTAAAACCAGTGGACTTTTTTGAACAGATTTCTGCATGTGTGCAAAACCTACACTTTGAAAACATGTCACATATACATGCAGTCTGGTATGAATTTTAGGACAATTAGGTTTAACACAAAAGATTCAGTGCTGGGTTTCAAACTGATCCATATTCACAGAGAGTGAAAAAGATCAACTCAAAGATTGTTGCCTTTCCACTGAGATTGGGGGACTTGTCATAACATGCTTTATCCCTGAAATTTACACCACGACAACTGCATGAGTCATTTAAGTCTAGATCATAAAAATTATTTCTCTCCAAATAAACCAATTGAAAACCTCTTCTGTTCTTTTATTTAACCAAATAAAAGCAATCTCTTTCTTATGCTAAAAAAAAATCTATTACAAGCAGAAGTGTTGCTTCTATTGTATTCATATTTATTTTAGAATTTACTATAGTTTCATTTATTATAACATATTTTATAAATATCAGTTATAAAATGTTGTAAAACCCTTTTTTAAACAAGTTAAACAGCCATTGTAAATGTAAAAGTGAAATGGAAAGCTGTGAAACTTGTAAACTTGCATCACTTAAATTACTATAACAAAGTTCTTACCATCTCTTCTCTCTTGAAAACTGGATGAACTAGTGTCCATACAGAAGGAGTAACAGTCAGTGAGGAACAAGATGGTCTTCCAGGAATATAAACTTAACCTAAACAGGAAGTTTCGTAGCCAGTGTGTCAAAGTGGATTTGTGCACTACAATTTCTCAGAACCCAACTGCAGTTTTACAGGCAGCATTACTCACATCCAGTTAAACTGCAGCCTTTATTTGATATTGTTTTAAAATAAATTAGTTGTTAATGTGTTTTTTGCTGTAGGTTTGGATGTGGTACTAGGGTGGCCAGTGACAGAGCTGGAAGTGGCAAAAGTGGTAGAAGATGGACCAGATGTTCTAGTAAGAGGAAATAATGTAGCTTTGAAATGGTCAGATGTGGTAGAAGGTGGGCCAGATGCAGTGTTGGGGAGTAATGGAATACATATACTGGCATAACGTATTTAAAATGCAAAATACGAGTAACTGCATTCCGTTACAGTTACTGTTCAAAAAGATGGTATTTAGAATAAAGTTACTTTGTTGAAATAATGGGAAATAAAGGGATTCCATGGCAGTCTTTTCCTGTTTCATATGCGGGCTATGCCCTCTCTATTTTTTGTAATTCCATACTGGTGCAAACCTAAACAAAACACACATTAAGAGGCTCTAATGCCTGTCACTCAATCTCGTGGCCCATGTCACCTCTACTTGCAGCCCACATAATTATGAGAAGAAATATTCTTAAAAATTATTATTCAAAATAGCAATAGGCAGAGTGTTACAGGCATAGCCCTAAGGAATGTAGCCTCATGGGCAGTGTAGTCCAGTTGTAAGTAATTATTAAGACCGTGTTCGTGTTTTCCTCTGAAACAATAAGTTTCGTTGGAGCAGCCTTTCAACGCCTCTCTCTGACTCTCGCTAGCAAAGTTGACCCAGACAACAAAGTAAAGCTAGTTTTTGGCTACGAGCCAGACACGGAGCCCGACACGGAGCCCGACGTATTAGCCAGAGGTCCCTTTACTACTGTTCGGAGTCGCGGACCTGTGTTATATACATGTGGAATAGTTTTCTATACGAGGTCGCTGCAAAAAGTGCAGCCTTACCTAATGTTAACCTACTGTTACATTTATATTAAGATTTAAAGATCTAGTGGTATTGGTATGGCGAGTAACCTTCAGTAATAGTAATAAATCACACAGCAATATTACATTTATGTAGTTGTAAAAAGCATGACAACATATTAAATAATCGAAAGTATTCAGAATACATTACTCTCATTGAGTAACGTAACGGAATACATACATTTTGGGGCATGTATTCTGTAATCTGTGGTTGTGAAAAGGCCCGGAGTGGTAGTTAAGGGGCCAGATGTGGTAGAAGGTGGGGAGATGTTGTAGTAAGAGGAGCAGATGTAGATGTGAAATGCCCAGATGAGGTGGAAGGGACAGATGCAGTAATGAAAGGCCCAGATGAAGTACTAAATGATGAAATTGTGCTAAAATTATGCTAAAAATCCATTACAAGCAGAAGTATTGCTTCTATTGCATTGATATTGTTTTAAAAATTTACTATAAAAATTTTATTTGTTATAAAGTATTTTATAAATATCGGTTATAAAATGTTGTAAACCCCCTTTTTAAACAAGTTAAACAGCCATTGTAAAAGTAAACATGAAAGGTGTGCAATTTATGATTTTTGTAAACTTGCATCACTTAAATTACTATTACAAAGTTCTTACCATCTCTTCTCTCTTGAAAACTCTCTTGATTTTTTTTCTTTGTCAGCTTACGTTAAGCTTTACAAAGTGCTTAATGATAGAGTTAAGGCATGCTATGTGTGTTAGAAGTCTTTTGTAATTGCAAAAACAAACATGAACATTGCTCTATTTTGTAATTTCTACAAATTTATCACCACTCAAATTCCAAATAAAAAAATAAAAACAAAAGAAATTCTTACTTACTTCCTCCGTCTCCTGAAAACCAGCTACATTGGTGTCCTCATAGGTCCATAGAATAGTACAAACAAGACAGTCAGTAAGGTACAAGACTGTTGTCTTCAAATATAAACTGATCCCAGTGAGGAGGTTTAATTTTTGCATCCAATAGACCATCAATCTTGACTTGCGCAACACATTTCTCAATAGCCAACTCAAAATGATACATGGTTTCACATGCATCATTTCCATTTTCCATTTCATTTGACCTCTTTTTACAATACAAAATTTATTTAATAAAATGCAATAATGTTATTTTATGAATGAAAGTATAATTTCATGATAACCATAACATATTGATAAGGTATCAATTAATGAAACTTCAGCTAAAAGTTGTTACTTAAAAAATTATTTTTTAATAAACATCAAACTATACAAAAGAAAGAGAAAGAGGGAGAGGGAGGGGACTGGAGTACAGTTAGCAAAGTAAAATTTATGGGCTCCTGATATGATGACCTTCATGCCTAGTGAAAATGTATATAATGCAGCTCAAGGTTGTAGTATATTAATTATGGGCTTAAGCTGCAGACTTCAGGATGCACTTAAACTTTGACTGTGGGATCTGAAGGATCCAGATGATCCTTAAGCATTCAGTGTTTATGAGCAGCATTTAAAACGTGAAGAAACTATGGATAGAAATTTAAAAATGAAACCTCAGTAGTTCTAACTGTGAATACAGTAAATATTTTAATGAAGTTAGCAAATTCTCTGTTAGATGTGATCTTTTGAAACTTATGTATTAAACACTTGTCTAAAATTGATGTGTCTGTTGGATCCACTGCATTTTGGAGTCTTTAAATCAATTCAACCATAAGCTTTTATGTAAAAATACTTCATTTGCTTTATCTGACTTCCAATCACCACAGACAATGTATATGGTTAATATATATTGTAGGAACAACATCCGAGATCTCTTTCCATAAAATTATGTATATTTATACTATATAGTATATATATGCACTCTGTGTTTTTCTGTCCATATTGGACACATACATTGCAGCTCTTTGTGTTGCTACTGGTTCTAGAACAGAATTTAAATCAGGGAACATCTCATGCTGAAGGTTAGAGTCTTTACTTGAGTCTGCCCCAGAACAGTTGCTGTGTGTCATTCTTCTTCGCTCTCTCCTTACCATCCTGTCTGTACTACAGTATCCAATGAAGGCAAAATAGTTCTAAAAACATCCTATCATTTTTCAGATCATCTTTCTTCTGAAATCAGAGGTTCTCTGGCAGATTTTTTTTTGTTTTGTTTTGTTATCTTGACTGATAAGGAGCCACACAAAGAAAGCTACTGATTGTTGCACCCCACCCTCAGTTTGCAGCTGGGAGTGTGACAAAGTGTAGAGCAGTTTCTGTAAGACGAAGGGTGAAATGTGCAGGAATGTGTGACCAAAGAGATGAAGGCATTTGAAGTGAAACAATATTGCGTGAGAAAAGTAGCAGCAGGAGTCATTGAAAATGTATTGATTTAATTTTACAAAGAAATTTGAGGTTTAAATAGTGATGAATTGTACAATTTTTCTTCTAATTAACATTTTAAACAGGTTCAGCAGACCTGAGGACTACACAAGGGTTAATGTCTGAATTTCTGAAAAGCAGATTTCAAAGAAACCTCTTATTCCTCTTTCACACTGAGAGTTTTAAAGTTACAGTTGCATTCTAACAGGAATGGGTGTGGATAGAGATGAGTGAGAATGAGTTTGGCTCAGTGAGATGAGTAGCCACCTTGAGACCAGGAAGGCCAGGTTTGAAACCTGCTCACAGCAAAACAAAAAAAACAACAAAAACAACAACAAAAAAAGTGGTGTATTTACTTGAATTATTCAAACCTCACATTTATGATATGATTAAAATGGCTATAATAAATAAGGAAAAATAAAGTTTCCTTTTATACATGATAGTCATATAGTCTGGTTTAGAGACTGTGTGCCAGACTGTTCTGCTTTTATCTCATTTGTTTCTGAGAAGTAAGGTTGTTCCCCTCAAATATAAGCTGACCCCCAAGGAGGAAGTTTTATTTTTGTGGATAACAGTGTGTCGAAATAGATTTCCTCGATGCATTTTCTGCAGTTTTAAATGCTTTGTTCCCCAAATTAAAGGCTGACTGCTGCTTTTATTTTGAAACCTCCTGTAATAAAAAGTATTTAGGTAATAATGAAACAAAGTGTAACATCTCAAGGAGTCCTTGAGATAGTGAAACTAAAACATGAATTTCTGAAAAGGAGCTTTCATAGAAATTGTCACGGCCCGAGGCCAGTAGGAAAACGGACTCCAAGGCAGACAACACTGAGGCGCAGGGACTGAGGGTGACAAAGCTTTATTTACAGTGATGCAATTAATGTAAACAGCAAATGACAGTGAGAGGTGCTCAAAGTGCTTACCATAACTCAGAATTGCTCAACATAAACAAGGAATAACTCAAAAACACTCACAAGAAACCGAGGACTAGCGGCAACCTAAACAAGCTTCACATGCTAGAAACTCCACTCTGGGACATGAATTTAAATATAACGTTAACTTAGAGGCACACTATGTTTCAATACTCCGCTTGGAGACAAACAGTTTTAACTCAGAAATTCACAATTTCTGATTTACTTTGAAACTCATGGCTGACTTGGCATTTCTATGAAACAAAACTAGAAGGTGCACTAGAAGGGTCTGTGGGGCCAGGGCCGTGCAGAGAGGTTTAAAGGGGCGGGTGCTCAAAGTTAAAAAGGGGCACATTGAACCAGGCTGAATAACAACAGCACACATTCATCAAAAATCTAATATGGGCAACAAGGCAAAGCAAACATCGCCGATGTTTTACCTGATGGGTACATGGTAAATGGCCTGCATTTGTATAGCGCTTTTCTAGTCCTTAAGGACCCCAAAGCGCTTTACACTACATTCAGTTATTCACCCACAGGCGATAGCAAGCTACATTGTAGCCACAGCCACCCTGGGGCGTACTGACAGAGGCGAGGCTGCCAGACACTGGCGCCACCGGGCCCTCTGACCACCACCAGTAGGTGGCGCCACCACGGGGTTAGTATCTTGCCCAAGGATATTTGGCATGCAGCC